TATTGCCATTAAAAGCAAAATTAGCGGACCAAGAGGTGCAAAATAAAGAGGTTTAATGTGTCAGTGTCAGTGACAAATTTCCTGGATCAAAATGATCACAACAAGGACATGCAAACCTTTAGTCGGGAAACACGTTCGATTCGGAAAAACGCACCCAGTGCATCAACAAAAGGGCCATGGAGCTGCACGCACTCCTAGTAACGGTATTAAAGTGTTTTTGACTGTCTGGCATCTGCGTCAATCGAACAGTGACAGTTCAACAACATGCCAAGAAGTGCAAAGAAACAACGTCATAGGCCGCTTGCAGGCAAGGGAATCCCGATCAGCTGTAGCCAAGGTTTTCAATGTTGCGCCCAGCACCATCACAAGGCTATCGGATCGGTTTCAACAGCATAGGTCAACACGTGATCGGCGAAGATCGGGTCGACCAAGAGTAACCACCCTGCACAAGATCGCTACATCCGACTGCGCCACCTATGTGAAAGGACGACCACAGCCATCTCAACCGCATCCCAAATACCGCGACGGCGCAGAATCTCCGACCAAACCGTACGAAATCGTTTAAGAGCAGCAGGTCTACGAGCAAGATTTCATGTTCGTCACGTCATATTGAGTCGACAACATCGTCAACAGCTACTGCATTGGTATCGTCAACACAGGGTATGGCCTCAACTGCGATGGAGATATGTCTGGTTCAGCGACGAATCAAGATTTCTCCTCCGTCGAGGGGATCGAAGAGCACGGGTCTACACACGTCGGGGAGAACGTTACGCCGAAAACTGCGTAGAGGAAGCGGACAGGTTTTGTGGGGGTAGCGTTATGATGTGGGCGGCTATCTCTCATCATGGCAGGACAGGTTTGGTCCATATCCAGGGCAATCTCTTAGCGCTTAGTCGGTCGTAACTCCCATTCTTTAACACTGACTTACGACAGTCGTAGCGCTAAGATCGCTTTGTGGAACGGGTCCCAGGAATAGCGAGTTTAAAATGGCGCGATCTTCGAGTAACTTTCACTGTTGTGTCCCGCAATGTTCAAGCGATTCGCGCAACGAAGCCAATATCAGCTTTCACGCTTTCCCCAAGGCAGACGATCAGCGGAGGAAATGGATTATATCCATTCGAAGAGACGAGGGTCCGATACCTTTGACAGTGACCTGCCTTGTCCTTGACCTTCGATTATGTAAATCATCACGGAAGTGTTTTTATTGTCCAAGCCTACAAACGTGAAAGTTGTGGAACGAACTGAATACTGATAAATGTGTACATAAATATAAATTTAAAACATATCTCCAACTATCAAAATATTCGCTAAATGTTTTGAAGACATATTATCTACCAACTTTGATGATGAATAGTTTCTGTAGATTAAACAGGCCTATTTTACAATAATATCCATTGCGAATGGTATGCACATAGCTCTCACTGTTGTACATAAAACCTTTCTAGAGGTGGCAGGCCCCCCAAACCCCCTGTTATTTTAGCGAGGCTACAAAAATGACGTCTGAAAAACTTAGAAACCGTTACTAAGGAATAGATCCGGGGTAGAATAGGTCTTCAGCAACCCATGCTTGCCGTAAAAGGTGACTATGCTTGTCGTAAGAGGCGACTAACGGGATCGGTTGGTCAGGCTCGCTGACTTGGTTGATGCATGTCATCGATCCCATGTGCGTGGATCGATGCTCATGATATCAATCACTGGATTGTCTGGTCCAGATTCGATTATTTTCAGACCGCCGTCATATAGCTGTAATATTGCTGAGTGCGGCGTTACAAGAAACAACCAACCAACAATATCTGAATATAGCTAACAGCCTCAAATAATTCATAACGTCAACACCATACAGAACAATATTACTATAATAATCACGGATGTTAACTGATGAGGTGAGGTGAGGTGAAATGGGGTTTAACGTCGCGTCCAAGATTATTGCACTTATATAGCTACGTGCATGCACGTGTATGTGTGTGTGTGGCTGCTTAAACTAGTCTGGACTGATGCCGATTTATAGTGCTAGCACACTGAGATACCATGCCGCAGTTTAACATGAATACCCCACTCAGACACAGTATACTGACTCTGAGCCGACCAGTCTTTGTTTTACCCCCTTAATGCCGAGCGCCAGACAGGGTAACAACAATTACCATCTTTTAACGTCTTTTGGTATGACGCGGCCGGGGATCGGACGCCGGACCTTCCGATCTCGGGGCGGACGCTCTACCACAAGACCACGGAGGCGGCATTGCCGTAAAAGGCGACTATGCGTGTCGTAAGAGGCGACTAACGGGATCGGTTGGTCAGGCTCGCTGACTTTGTTGATGCATGTCATCGATCCCAAGTGCGTGGATCGATGCTCATGATATCAATCACTGGATTGTCTGGTCCAGATTCGATTATTTTCAGACCGCCGTCATATAGCTGGAATATTGCTGAGTGCGGCGTTAAAAGAAACAACCAACCAACAATATCTGAATATAGCTAACAGCCTCAAATAATCCATAACGTCAACACCACACAGAACAATATTCCTATAATTATCACGGATGTTAACTCTGCCTGAAGAAGCGAAACCGAAACGGCAAAACAGGGCAATAAAATAGATATTGTCTTATGCTTATTATATCTACACTGCGTGTGGTAACTTCACACTATAACTATCCTTTGCATGCATCTTATTGAGGTATACATTACACGGAATACTTGAATACCCCTTTATGATCCTTAAGGTAAGCACCCCTTTATGATCCTTAAGGTAAGCACCCCTTTATGACCCTTAAGGTAAGCACCCCTTTATGATCCTTAAGGTAAGCACCCCTTTATGATCCTTAAGGTAAGCACCCCTTTATGACCCTTAAGGTAAGCACCCCTTTATGATCCTTAAGGTAAGCACCCCTTTATGACCCTTAAGGTAAGCACCCCTTTATGATCCTTAAGGTAAGCACCCCTTTATGACCCTTAAGGTAAGCACCCCTTTATGATCCTTAAGGTCAGCACCCCTTTATGATCCTTAAGGTAAGCACCCCTTTATGATCCTTAAGGTAAGCACCCCTTTATGATCCTTAAGGAGGGCACTCCTTTATGATCCTTAAGGTAAGCACCCCTTTATGATCCTTAAGGTAAGCACCCCTTTATGATCCTTAAGGTAAGCACTCCTTTATAAACATTAACGTAGGCACTCTTTTATGTTCGTTAAGGTAAGCACTCCAATATTATCATTAACGTAAGCATCCCTTTATGATCCTTAAGGTAAACACCCCTATATTATCATTAACGTAAGCACTCCTTTATTATTCTTATGGTAAGCACACCTGTATGATCCTTATGGTAAGCACACCTGTATGATCCTTAAGGTAAGCACCCCTATATTATCATTAACGTAAGCACTCCTTTATTATCCTTAAGGTAAGCACCCCTATATTATCATTAACGTAAGCACTCCTTTATGATCCTTAAGGTAAGCACTCCTTTATGATCCTTAAGGTAAGCACCCCTTCATGATCCTTAAGGTAAGCACCCCTATATTATCAATAACGTAAGCACTCCTTTATTATTCTTATGGTAAGCACACCTGTATGATCCTTAAGGTAAGCACCCTTTTATGATCCTTAAGGTAAGCACACCTTTATGATCCTTAAGGTAAGCACCCCTATATTATCATTAACGTAAGCACTCCTTTATGATCCTTAAGGTAAGCATTCCTTTATGATCCTTAAGGTAAGCACACCTGTATGATCCTTAAGGTAAGCACCCCTTTATGATCCTTAAGGTAAGCACACCTGTATGATCCTTAAGGTAAGCACCCCTTTATGATCCTTAAGGTAAGCACTCCTTTATTATTCTTGTGGTAAGCACACCTGTATGATCCTTAAGGTAAGCACCCCTTTCTGGTCCTTGGGTAAGCAGTCCTTTATGATCCTTAAGGTAAGCACTCCTTTATGATCCTTAAGGTAAGCACCCCTTTCTGGTCCTTGGGTAAGCAGTCCTTTATTATCCTTAAGGTAAGCACTCCTTTATGATCCTTAAGGTAAACCTCCTTTATGATCCTTAAGGTAAGCACCCCTTTCTGATCCTTGGGTAAGCACTCCTTCATGATCCTTACGGTAAGCACAACTTTCTGGTCCTTGGGTAAGCAGTCCTTTATGATCTTTAAAGTAAGCACTCATTAGGGTAAGCACCCCTTTCTGGTCCTTGTGTGAGCACTCCTTTATGATCCTTATAGTAAGCACTCCCTTACGTTAAGCACTTCTTTATGATCCTTACAGTAAGCACTCCCTTATGATCCTTACGTTAAGCACTCCTTTATGATCCTTACAGTAAGCACTCCTTTATGATCATAAGGGTAAGCAGCCCTTTAAGATCCTTAAGGTAAGCAGCCCTTTACGATCCTTGGGTATCCTGGTGCGGTGTGTGTTTTTTTTCCCACTTCAGTGAAACCCACACATGGTGCTCACAAACCTATGGATCATAACTGGAGCAAAAAGGATTCACAGATTTCTTGCATATCTGTGCAGCGAATTGACAACTGGGCCACTCGTGTCTCCCCCTATACTCATGGGGGTCGAACGAGGATAGGGTGGTCAGGCTGACTTGGTTGTGTTATTAATCAGCAGCCTGTATCTATCTGAGCATGAGCCAGTCAAACCAGTGGTTGAAAGCATGAGTAACTAACTTCTCAGTTTGCACACACACACTCAGACATTTTAACCAACCTTTCTTTATAAGTAAGCCCTCAAAAACACAAGTCTCTGTTCAGCCAGCAGAAAAGATGGGTACCTTGATGGGTAAAGTGACTCCACCTTCCAGCACCTGACAAGGCAGTTTTTGTTGTATACTCCCCATGGAGCTGAGAATGAAAATCGAGTGCATACTTTCCATTGACTGGGGTAATAATGTTAGCACCTTGAGCATGCACGGAGTGTATGGAGGCTAGCACAATATAGGTACACACATTAATTTTTATTATTATTATTAGTAGTATTATTAAAAAGAACACAACAAGCGTGAAAAAAGATGCAGTATTTAATGAAATTACTGGGCATTGACAAAGGCAATAATTGATACATGTTTAAATAGAAACAGTTTCAGTTGACAAACAAATGTTAAAAGTTGTATAAAACAAATGGCATAATTGACCAATTGTAACATCTAATCCCTCAAGGACACAGTGGCTCCTTGTCAACATGAAGTGTTGTGCTGTCTCTTCAAACTGAAATCCTTCCACAAAATACACTACACTGGCTATGGCTATTAATTATGAATACAACACTCACTGAACTCTTCAGTGAGAACAATCTAGTAGCACTTGACATAAAAAAATCATGCAATCTGGATTTGAATTTCAATTTGAAAAGACAATTTGCATACATATTCTGAACTGTGGTGTAATCACTCCAGACTGAGCAGAGGGTAAGTATTAACTAAATACAAAATGTCAATGCAAGTGAATAACCAGTCTTGACTACGCCGAAACAGATTCCAAGTGGCGTTTAGGGCAAAATAGCTGTGAAAAATATGAATTGACTGCTTTATTTAATGTTCCTATGAAATTCACATTTCACACTTCATATGAAGAGATATTCATGAAGTTACTAAAAAAGTACATGACGTTTTCGGGTCATCCTCAGCCATATCAGCCCCCCCCCCCCCCCCCCCCCCCCTCCCCCCCTCTCTAAACAGGTGGTCAGTGATGGGAGCAACAATCCAGTTGCTCCAGACCAAATGCGAAATCAGCCAGGGACGTCACTGCTGAGAATTGGTCGTTTCTGGTCACCCACATCTCACTATAGTTGACAATGTAAAGACAGTACCTGGATCTAATTCTTCCTCACAATCTCTACAGGGTGCGTTAGTCCACCATGTTTCAAATATCTAGCATCTCTCAATGAGTCAACTTGACTGGCAATATTAAAAGTCGGAATATTAGCATCCCATAATTGATACAAGGAGCAAGAGAGATGTTCTGTTCATACATGAAAAAAAATTTTTTATAAAAAAATAACTAATTAACTTGAATGACCTAAACTATCCAAAAAAATTGCCAAGACCCATGTTGATCTCAGCACCACGTACCATAAATACAGATAAATGTATGAGTATTCATTATAATTGTCATAGCGCAAAGAAAATGTGATTTGTAGAAGAAAATGTACAGAAAGGGAATTAAGCCACAATACATAATTAAATTTTCACCCCAATTCTTAAAAAACGTTGAAACATTTAATTTTGAATGTAATATTTTAACAAAAAAATAATCTAGGCATGTGTGTACATTAACTGTCAACGGATGTGCCTCGCATAAATGTTTGGTAGGACTACGCAAAAGGTGTATTTCACTCGGGAAAGGGAGGCGGGACACTGATTTTCTTCATCGGTAGGGACTTGGGACAATAAACAGATGTGAAGCGGGGTGTTCGGTACGGAGGCAGGTGAGGATGAAAATCTAATAATTAATTTATCATGGCCTAAACATGCACACTAACTGCTCACCAGTGCCAACACATCACAGACATGTTGGCTGAAACACTGAAGAGGGGGGTGATGCGAGTGTACACAAGCTGGAAGCCTAGTACACACAGCTCAACTATACAATTGGGGAGCATCATACAATTCATCTGTACACACTGAACTCATTGGATTAGCAAATAATGACAAAAGCAGATTAAAATGTTCAGTCATTCAGAATGATTTATCCCTAGATGAATAATTCGGAAATAATTTTATCAAGAAAATATTGAATTTACACCATCTCTTAGAGTTAATCCCTTAGTTGCTGTTTGGTAAGACCACACAAATTAAATGTCTGCTGTGTGTGAAAGACCTTGCAACCATGTTAAGTTCCTGTATCATATCAGTCAGAAAGCCTACTTATCAACCAATCCTTTATATGAGAATCTTACCAGTCAGCAGCAAGCTGACACTTTTACAACTGACTTATCTTAACAATTGGACCAGTCATAATACTAACTGTTGAAGGAGCTCCAGATTGACCATCTTCCCAAGGCAAGGGAGTTAACTGACTATAAAAGTCGAGTTTCCAGCCTTGCCGAACTAAGCTCTCAGTTACCTTGGGTCTGGTAGGACCATGGGTCTCATGCAGTGGTTTACAAATGCTTCAGCAGTTCATTCACTGACCCATCATACTCAACACCAGGGGTCCGGAAACCGTCATATGCGCCGGACATGTCCGATTGGGAATCTCAAATGTCCGGTTTAAAATATTGCTTACCGGACATTTGAGTCAACACTTAATGCCCTGGTTCAGAACCTCATGTTTAGGGAATGGTCTTCTATGAAGGCAGCAAGTACAAATTTCTATTATTTATATATTTTTAGGGAGTGAGGGCGTGAGTTGGGTTAACGCCGCTTTTAACATTATTCCAGTTATATCACGGCATGTCAGCTTAATGTGGGAGGAAAGCCCGAAGTGTTGCAGGTCTTGGATGTTTACCACTTCAGTGAAACCCACGAGCATGGGTATGGTGCTGACAAACCTAGAAACATAATCGGGCGAACCAGGATTCGAACCCACAATCATAGGTTTCTGGCATGCCCAGGGGACGCAACTCTGCACAGCAAATTTTAGTCGAAAGCTGACCGTCATATGATCAAATGGGACTGGTGATCTTTGAAAAGCACCTTGGAAAGTTTTGTATACGCTAGGCACATGTCAAATATGGTAACATTAGGTCAAACATGATAACATGAGAGTTTGTTTTTTAACACCAGTCATAGATTTATTTCTTGAAATATCTGGGCAAACCCTACTTCAATACTGATCTGTAAGATACATACCATCCTTCACTTCAGAATGTTTTCTACTTGCTGATAGGCCAACTACCAAGTCATATTATTCTCCTTGGAGAAACTACCTCCGGCCATGCTGAATGTACATCCCAATTTTCCTGTCTACATCCACATTGTACTGACGAACATTATGGCTCCAGGGGAGACAACTCCGAGCATCCCCCCCATGATACAGTTCTCAATGAACCACTTGCTTGTCACCCACGATTATCCAGTGTACCACATCTCCATTCTATGGTAAGTACCTTGGACCATTCACTACCGATTTGGGGGCGGTCGGGTAGCCTAGTGGTTAAAGCGTTAGCTCGTCACGCCAAAGACCTGGGTTCGATTCCCGACATGGGTACAATGCGTGAAGCCCATTTCTGGTGTCCCCTGCCGATATATTGATGGAATATTGCTAAAAAGCGGCGTAAGACCACTCACTCACTCACTACCGATTTGAAATGGCACGATGCTAATAATAGCAATCAAATCAAATCAGTCATGAGGAAAATAAATTCTGTGTGAAGTGTGAGATAGGAAAGATTTAGATATGACATCACTTCTGAGTGAACTATCATTTGGGATGGGTCCAGGGTATTATCATAATAGAACGGAGATAAAAAATCCTGGATAATCAAGGATGTCTGCTTGCGAACACAATCATCAAGTTCAAGTCCTATCAACAGCATGCTAACGGGAAGGTTTATACAAGTTTATACAAAGTGAGCACTGGTCTAAATACAATTGGTACAAGATGCTAGTCTATTGACTGTAGAGAAATTTACACCCGACTAATAAATAACATTTATGACAAGAATGCCAAATGTCCCACTGAATACCAGCAGATCATATTCCAAATCACAGTCACAACGGCCCATCTTAATGGTATCCAAATACCATTGACTTCCAATAAGACACGTTTCATCTTTTGAAAAAGGAACCTAGAGGGCAACAGTTAAGGTCATGTTGTCATCCATCCTCGCATCACGATATCAATCTTATGTCCTATTTGCCAGACCTGTGTTAGATAGTTTCATAGACTAAACATCAAAATGTAATATTATTACTTTGGGCAAGACCAACTTATTTCCTTGCCATATAATTTTTCTTGCTTATTTCTTTCCTCAAGATAGAAGAAGGAAACGTATAAACATTGAAATTATATTGTGAGGTTTGAATGGATGTTTAATTTCTGAATTAATCAAAGATTCAAGTTGAGTGTCATCTTCAGAGCTGTATCTTCCCGACGCAAGGGAGTTAACTGACTATTAAGTCCAGTTTCAACCCTTGCTGCACAGCGAATCGCGGCGCCTCAGACGACTGGGCCACCCGTGCCCCCCTTCAGACTTTTAACAACTAGCCTACCCTCAATATTCTTTATTAACTGAAGTTTGGCCCTGAATGACTCATTAAATATACCTCATTTGACAAATAAACAATGAACGAAAATGGCATGACTAATTTACTGTGTCCAAAGACATTGCTCAAAGATACCTTACTATCAGCGAAATACAACAATATATTTTAACAACTAGGTAATCTTTTTAAACAGATAAATACTCATATGATGCTGATTAAAAAAACTAGCTCTGCTCAAAACCAAAAATAATACGCTTTGAATTCTAGTAAACACTTGCTATTGACATAAAATGTGTTTTGGCTCTGTCGAACAGTAACAGAGATCGAGCGAGTTGAGAGATCATTCGTAAATCAACAGTGCTTTCAGAGGAAAATCACATGTATATTACTCAAAACAAGTTAAGGAACACCCATATGACAGCTTAACAATAGTCATATGAACACATTGTCTGTTTTTGTACTTCTTTTGAGCAGTATATAATCTTATCAATCAGATCATATTGATGCAGTGTTTGAAGTTAAGGGGGTTCTTGAGGTTGTCTGCTGTATTTGAACCTCGGGACCCCTAAATCTAAAACTTTTAAATTTCGGGTTATGACAAGGAACTCTTGACTTACCGTATTCGACGTAATTAGTGCCCTGCTCTAATAAGCACCCACAGCGATATTTGCTAACATATTGGCTTGTGAACAATTCAAAATAGCACCCTTCGATTGATCAATGTACACAATACTAATTTATTCGCGTATAATACGCACTCGTGTGTTATATGCACCCTTAATTATGGGCAATTAAATTCTGGAAAAATATATCTCTCGTATATAAACATTTCAGACTGTCAGCATAAACCACGAAATTTATCTTTCAACTATGTTTTTTTTTGACAAAATAATATTCTAATAAGAGTCCCCTAGTTCTAATTTTGAGAGCTCCCTGGGCGCTTATTACGTCAAACACGGTAATTGTGAACATTGTTGTAATTGTTTCACACAGAATCACCGACAAATATAGGAACCAATGCTGATGATAATGTGATAAGCCCGTATCACCTGTAACATGGATCTGACACTTTTGCCTTGATGCTCACAGACAACAAAAGAGATACATCTTACAAGTTTATATCAAAATATGAATTCAACAGTGGAGTCAACTCAATCTATTCAAAGTCAACTCGGACACAGTATTCTGAATGTTCCTTGTGACAGGACGTGGACATATGGTATTTTATTCAACACAATGAGGCTGTACATGCAACAAAATACCACGAAGCAGAAACAGGTGTCAGAATTTACTCCGCTCCATTACGAGAAAAAAAGTGTCATTTAGGTTCAAATCTCAAACTTTCATATATATTGTAATACAAGAATATTTGTACAATTACATTAACACATGGCATCAGGTTCTCAAAAAAGATTTTCAAAAAGGAATCTTCTGTGTTGAAGGATTTCAAAAGCCTTGTTGCAGTGACTGGCAACAGCTCTGCATGAAGAGTTACCTCCCTTATACTATAAGCAATACATTGCTTCCAATGCAAGCAGCACAATGATTCAACAAGTCGCGTACATTTGATATTGAAAAGTACACTTTTGGTCCTATCAAATATAATGAAGCATACAAAAGGTCCTTCAGACTTTCCACTTTACATTTCAATCTTTCTATTCATTACTCGGTAATTATCAACACACGAAAACAAATGTAACAATTTCAAACTTGAAAATATTCCGATCTTTACATTCAAATTTTGTTTAAAACATTATTAAAACATACAGGTTAGCACGAATCCTGACATGCTGTTTCCAATGTCCCCTCAGCATTTCTCTAATTATCAAAACACATCGTTGTTTCCAATCAAATGTTCAGAAACTGTTCCTGAAAAAGTGACGCTGTGTCTGTGAACAGATGCCTGGGTTAGGGACAGTCCTAGGACATACGCCAACTGTTGACGGCCATCCTAGGTCTTTCACTAACCCCAGGTCCAGAAGACTTGCCTGGACACAGTGTGGCTGATTTCCGAGCCCCTAGTTTGGGCGTTGATGTGGAGATGTCTTTTGCACAGTTGGGGAGAGTTATAACGAGGGGTGTTGGTTACAAAATTACACATTTCTTTTTGCGACTGTCTTTCTTTTTCTTCTGTTTGCCATTATTCTGTCGACTTGCTTCCATCTTCCGTGAGCGAATCTCCCTCATCAAATCGTAGAATACCTGAAACATAAAAAGCCATCATTAACAATTGAGAAGACTTAAAAACACCTCCTTCACCTAATATTCCCAAACCTCATGGTGGGGGACACCGCAATTGGGCTTCACACATTGTACCCATGTAGGGAACCAAACATGGTCTTCAAACTGACAATTATAGTCACAAACCCACAATCACAGAAGGCCACTACAGGCACAACAAAGACTGAATATTACTTGATATGTTCTGATAAAGGAATGAAATATGCACTATGTTGTTTGCTGTTTACGCCTCCCTCAGCAATATTCCAGCTATGTGACAGCGGTCGGGAAATAATTGAGTCTGGACCAGACAATCCAGTGATTGACATCATGAGCATCAATCTACACAATTTGGATACGATAACATTCATCAACAAAGTCAGTGAGCCTGACCTCCCGATCCCTTCAGTCGCCTCTTAAGACAAGCACGGGTTGCTGAAGACCTATTCTAACCTGGATCTTCACATGATTAAAGGTATGAGTGATGCAGAGATGCCCCTAAGGCAGGTTGCACGCCGGATTAACTGTGACCCGCGCCAAGCTGCTGAAGACTTTTTATCCCAGATCTTCACAGGTCAACATGTGTACAAGAATTGAAATCAATTGAAAGCTTTTCACCTATCATTGATCAAACTTGTTTCCAACTCAAGAAACGAGAACCACTTTCTAGGAAATTTACAAAGCACCTGCTTTTATTATGATTTTAAATTTTCAAAATGTCCTTTTTTGACATGTTAACAAGCAGATTTAATCAATTGTTTCAAACTTGAATTATACATCATATCAAATAAAATTTTCCCAACAATAGATATCAGACAATTACAATAGATCAGTGAATTAGTATCCTGTAATTATAGATAGTCAGGGATAATGGCACACTATATTTACTTTTGTATCACTAAAAGAAATCTGTACAAATTAAGTGAATCAAACATATATTTTATGCAGGTCCTACACATGAGCCAAAAAGCCAAAGTGCACCTACGATTCTGAGTTAACTATTTGTTTTCAACTTATATTTCTATTTCTGAGTATATTAAAAGCACTGGCCAAGACAAAACAGAAGTGCAATCTCTGACGGCTTAAAAACACCTACTGCCGTGACCATTACAATCAGGTCATGAGGAAAAGGCATCTTGCAACCTCTATTCTCAAAACTACAGAAACTACAAATGGTTTCATCAAAGACAATTTTCTCCAAAGACTTGAAATAATTACTTCATAAATCAACAGTCACAAAGACAATAAAAACAATTTGGAGCATTAGAAATTGGCACTAGTTCATGCCAAGCTGCCCAATACTTACTTAAGGTATCATAAGGACAAGTAGAAATTGGCCATTTTTAAGGGTTTTGCTTTATGTTATCATCATAAGGACTAGTGGACTAAAAATGTTAGTTTCTCCACTCATTTGATACAGCATTAATATTGCAGTAAGAGCATATAAATCACAATAATGACAGTGTATGGAGTATTTGACTATTACAGGACAGTTCATATATGCATTGCAGCTGCCTGTGACTTATTTATCAAGTGCAATGGGAGGTGTGTGACAAAGAAGGGTCAAATCCAGTGCCACTGGCGGGTAGTGTACTGATAGGCTGAGGGAATCTTGGAGGAACAGCTGGAGAGATTGAATACACTGATGGTAGCTTTCAGTCCATCCTACTGCTGGCAGCAGGACCACTCACAGATCGTCCAGCCTGACACGACGAGACCCAGGCAAGAAGGAAGGAAGCACATTATTGGTTATCTCCCCTTTCTGGGGCCAGTCCATCAATTCACACTACTGCCGATAGGGGAAGGGGAGTTTCAGTGCAAGCTTCAAGTGTATCCAGATGACAAACTGGTGATATTTCTTTTTATGAAGTGGGCACGAGTGGCCCAGTCGTCTAAGGCGCCACGATTCAGAGTTGCGTCCCCTGGGCACGCCAGAAACCTATGATTGTGGGTTCGAATCCCAGTTTGCCTCGATTATGTTCCTAGGTTTTTCAGCACCATACCGTGCTCGTGGGTTTCATCAAAGTGGTTAACGTCTGATACCTACATGACTTCAGGACTTCCTCCTACATTAAGCTGACACACCATGATATAACTGGAATAGGGTTAAAAACGGTGTTAAACCCAACTCACTCACTCTTTTTATGAAATCAATGAAAATATTCTGAATCAATGCTCCTTTTCTAAACTTACAATTCATTTCTGATGATTCAAATAGTTTTACAGATTATATATACATTCTCTTCTTAAAATCCGGTGCCAACTTCAAACTTATATCTACATATGGGAATAAATATAACTATAGATATACATAATGTACATTATAAATTATAGAGATATAACGTATTATTTTCATTCATTGTATATAAACATTTATAGCGTACACTTAGTGTAGATACTGTATCGATAAGTCACAATAGTTGTTTGTTTGTTTAACGCCGCACTCAGCAATATTCCAGCTATATGACAGCGGTCTGTAAATAATGGAGTCTGGACCAGACAATCCAGTGATTAACATCATGAGCATCCATCCCTGCAATTGGGATCGATGACAAGCATCAACCACCACAGTCTGACCACCCGATCCCGTTAGTCACCTTTTACTACAAGCATGGGTTGCTGAAGACCTATTCTAGCCCGGCTCTTCACGGGTCCACAATAGTTGCAGTAAAGCTTTAATGTCATATCTAGACATTGTCTTTAAGATTTTCTATCAATTAACATCTCAGAGATAATTTGCGTAACATATTTTGTTTTTTAAGAACAGGGTTCAAGATACTTAGTTTTATTATCATTTTGGCAGTTTAATAAACCCAGCGTTTGAAGAAGTAACAGTCTTTATGACTACAAAAGGAAGTGTTTTTCATATCTTGTTAATTTACATATTTTGCATATTCTCTGGTCGACAAGCATGTTCGTTTGTAGAGCATGTATTGTGCTTGGCACTTTTAAAAAATACCATACCAAATTCACATTTTAGCATAGAGGCATACAAGAAACCACTGTGTTAACAGTTTTGCATAAAAGTATAATTAATAACATATAACTTCTAAAAATGTATTTACTCAAATATACTTTTCAAACTATAGAAATAATGAAAGAATAAGCATTCCTGTCAGACTAACTATAGTAATATGAAATAACTGGCTGGTCCTTAACATATTTTGAGCAGTATATATATTCAGAAAAGACAAATTAACTTAAAAACAAAAACATCAATGGACCACTTTGATTGCCTCCAATGCCTACAATTACAGGGTAACATTTTTTAGGAGACAAATACCACGCAGTCAACACGCAATGGTCTCCCAAGATAAAAGTCAATTGAATTTGGACGGTTGTGCTTCCCAAATGAGCTCCAGAATCAACAAGCACAAAGGTGACGGTCAATTTGGTCAAATTTTCATGGAAAGTGTTAAGTCGGCTTCAAGGGAACCAGTGAACACAATAAACCAAGACACACGAGGATCGGGACTTGGATCGGCCCGGAAACGGCTTCCCTCACTGCAAGATGTGAAATGTTAGCTCAGGGTAATTGCTATCGACCACAAATAGACTATTTCCAACCTGGCAATCAATATGGCTGCCCTGATCTAGATCGAAGTTGAACTTATAATTCTGGTAGCAGGACAAAGATTAAAGGCTTCAGGCTTAAGAAGCACACTTAGGCTATTTTTTATCACAAGAAACACATCTTGTACTTATAGAACTTTTTTGCTTTGTATCGGTGACTACATACTCCTTCAAAACATTTGAAACTGTTAATCTTCTACCTGAATATTGTAACAACTAAAATTATTAAACTACACAAAAAGATTATTGAGAATAGTGAATGAGTATGGGTTTACACCCCTTTTAGCAACATTCCAGCAATATAACGGCGGTGGACACCAGAAATGGGCTTCACACATCGTACCCATGTGGGGAATCGAACACGGGACGAGAGAACACTTAAATCATTAGGCTACCCCACCGCCCCTTATTGAGAAAAGAATTTTACACTATTTAACCTACTATATTGTGAATTCTTTGGCAGGATGAAAGATTTTTTTTTTATTAAATCAGAATCACTAATTAAAAAGAAACATTTTTCGAAAATTATACAAAACTGTAGGGAAGATATTTTAACACACAAGTTTGAACTGGTCAAAATGGTAATGAGTGAGTGAGGTGGTTCATGCCGCTTTAAACAGTGTCTTTCAGGGCCTAGACATTTACCACTTCAGTGAGACACACAAGCATAGGGATCCCAAACTGGGCCAATTTGAGATTCAAACCAACAAATGTTGGATCCTGGAACACATAAGGGACACAACTCTTCACACCAAATTGTGGCAACCTTGATGATTGGGCTACCTGTGTCCACAAAATGGTTATGATATCTATCTAAGTTGCCATTTTCAGGCCTTCCATTGCAGAACTTCTAAAACATACCCTGAAAGATAGTTGAAACATACTACTCAGAAGAAGTTAAAGAACAACCAATTCTTTCTTTCTACAATTTGTCAAAGACCTGCATCACTCAGAGCTTTCCTCCACATCAAGTTGATACTCCATGATATAAATGGAAAGTTGTTCAAAGTGGTGTTAAACACAACCACTCACATTACGCTTAAACTGTCATAGTGTGCCAGATTAACTCTAGTCATAAGAAAAATGAAAAAAGAATCGGGTGTTTTTTAAAACTCTTGGGTACCATACATCAAATATGCATAATACCCTGTCATCTTCCTCCTCCCGAACAAGTCGAAAAGGAAACAACTCATACAACAAAACTAAAGAACTAAGTTTCCTTAAGAATTAATCTGACACAGCCAACTTTAACATGGCTGAGGAGCAAGAAACCACATCTCCAGCATACTGAAATGCCATTCCGCCTGCAAAAAAATAATGTAAAATATTCCATAAATATATTTCTTTTCCAAATGTGGATAATCAAATTAAAAAAACCTGAATCGGCAAGTCCTAATACCAGCTGAAAAACAAAGTGCTGTCTTATAGCATACATTTTGTTAGTGTGCAAGGTAAACCGGTGGGGGTGTTTTTAGTTAAACATGATTAAAGTTGTTAAGGAAAACCTGACACCAGTGGGAGTTATTACTGGCTAAGTCAGTTCTGTGGTTGGTATGGTAAGTGCTTCTATATCATCACTCTGTTTAGAACTTAAACAGTATTAGGTTCTCAAATAATTTCATATTCAAGGAGCTAAATTTGAACTTTTTCTGAATATGAAAAATAAAATACGTTATCTAATATTGTCCTTTTAATTCAATATGACTGTGATACCAAGTTACAATTTAACAGTTATTGAGAATGGTTCTGTAAGAAAAGAGTCACCGACTTCACCTACTTGTGAGGGGTATGCAGAATTTGGGATAGGGTGAGTTTAAGGGAAACCAAAACAGGAGTTACATGGCGTCGGTCCAAAAGTGGAACAGTGTTACATAAGAACACATTTCTTTTTCTTCTGTTTCTTAGTTTTCTTTTTGTCACCGGTCTTTTTCTCGGCCTTCTGTTTAGTAGGCCCAGAACTACTTTTACCAGATCGCTTTTCTTGTTTGAACTTGTTCATCGTGCGCAGTAGGTCATAAAACGTCTGGAAGAGAACTTTCACAATATATCTGCAAGCTGGATTAAAGGTTACACTGGAGATAAAACAAAAAAGCTGATCAATAATGATGAGAGACAATGCCAGTTTCCACCTTCAATGGGGACGAAGATTAGGAACTTGGCAGAAGTGGCAAGTCTGATTCAAGAAGTTCAAACACCACTCTTATTGCCAACTTCAAACTGTTGATGTACATCAAGCTAGCAGTTGATGATCATGCCTTAAATTGCAATATCCAAATTTCACACAAGATACTTGCTTCAAAAGTTTGGGACTTTTCATCACTTCCAAAAACAATTCTTATTAATGCTCCAAAACGGAACTATTGTAACACTCATACAGTTTTAACTTTCAAAGTTTATGTTGTTGTTAAATGCAATATTTAAGATGTATGATGGAGGTCACACCTGGACTAAACAAACCAGTGGTTGATATAATGAGCATCGTTCCTTGCCACTAAGGTGAGGTGAGGTGAAATTGTGTTTAACGTCGCGTCCAAGATTATTGCACTTATATAGCGACGTGCATGCACGTGTATGTGTGTGTGTGGCTGCTTGTACTAGTCCGGACTGATGCCGATTTATAGTGCTAGCTCACTGAGATACCATGCCGCAGTTTAACATGAATACCCCACTCAGACACAATATACTGACTCCGAGCCGACCAGTCCTTGTTTTAGCCCCTTAATGCCGAGCGCCAGACAGGGTAACAACAAGTACAATCTTTTAACGTCTTTTTGTATGACGCGGCTGGGGATTGAACCCTGGACCTTCCGCTCTCCGGGCGGACGCTCTACCACAAGACCACGGAGGCGGTCCTTGCCACTAAGGAAGGATGACATGCAATCAACAAACTCAGTGATCCTCACCCCGATCTACACAGTTGCATCATACACCAAGCACAGGATACTGGGGGCCTATTATACATCGTGGATTCCCACAGCTGGATGTGCTTTGTTGAAAATGACTAACAAATATTTTTATCACACAATGCTTCATGTTATCAATGTGATAAACTGATCCAATCAATATGCAAATGAGGAAGCTAGCAGGAACTACTTTCAAGCTCCAAACATCCATGCAATGCATTCTTCCCCTATAAACTATTGATAAAATTTCAAATATGGTTAGACAGGGGTTTGCCAATGTGTTGCTGTGTTTCTGCAGACAAACATGGCTGCAAGACATTTTGCACTGTACGACATTGTATTCATACCCAGTTTCTGAGCCCTTTCATTGAATGAAATTACACCTTCAACATCCTTTAATTAAAGGATTACATGAAATGATAAAGGATTGCACAATACAATCTTTATTTCTAATGTATATTTATAACACAAAAAACTTGGCTAATAATCTCTATGTAGCTTTCAATACCTGAAAATAAAAAAATAAATTATCTAGTAATGAACCTAGTCACTGAGACCTCAAAGTGTTCTGGCTCAAGAGACTGCATACTACAGACACACACACAATTTCCCGATTTTTCCTCCGCTTTAGGGCTTGAGAGAGATCCCTTGGCTAACCCTCAGCCATACACAACAGATAGCGCTCACAGGGACCGCAATTAACCTGGGATGTCTGTTAGCACACAGATAACAGTGTTAAACATGAAGGAGGGGCCTTGTTTAGTTGACAACTGTGTAACCACCTCTGTAGTCTAGGGGATAGGGCGTCTGCAAGGAGAGCGGGAGGTCAGTGGTTCAATCCCCGCCCATGTCATACCAACAGATGTTAAAAGATGGTACTTGTTACCCAGCCTGGCGCTCGGTATTATTTGTTTGTTGTATGATGCCGCACTCGGCAATATTCCAGCTATATGACGGCGGTCTGTAAATAATTGAGTCTGGACCATTCAATCCAGTGATTGACATCATGAGCATCGATCCACGCAATTGGGATATGATGACATGCATCAACCAAGTCATCAGGATCCCGATAGTCGCCTCTTACGACAAGCATAGTTACCTTTTACAGCAGGCATGGTTACTGAAGACCTATTCTAACCCAGATCTTCACGGGCCTCACTCGGCACTAAGGGGATAACACAGAGATTGGTCAGCTTCAGTCGGTATACTGTGTCTCAGATTAACAAGACTGATTAAAGAGTGATTTTGGAAATTCATTGCAAATTAGAGGCGTCGGAGTCGGAGCACGAGAGTGTCGGATTAACAGGTCTAAATAGCATTCATTTAATCAGTTCCTATCATTAGTCTAGGATAAAGCAGATTGTCGGATTAACGAGTGTCGGATTAACAAGACTTGACTGTACACTGAAAATGATGTAAAGTGACAGGATCGGGCTAGTAGAGTCAAAAGCTTTAGGCACAGACTGTTACACTACTGTTTCAGTGGGCCCTACCTACCAGCATCCAAACCATGTCAAATGTAATGACAGGAGAGTGTACAAAAAGTAGGCCGAATTCTTGGAGTCAAGTGGCCTGTACTTGTCACCTGACATCCTTTTCAGTGGATATAGTGTTGATGTGAGGAATTTTATTTCACTAAGCTCACTGGACCGAAAGAAATTTGACAAGACCATGTCTGCGGGCTAGTGGCTGTTAATGTAATTACTCCTTCCTAGCAGACCTCCACTCCCCAACCTTGCCCTTTGAAATCAGCAGGTTTGGTGCGAGTATCTACAAGGTAGATAACCAACACCAAGCACATGAGATGCCTTAGACTTGCCCAAGTCTCAAAGGCAATAATTATTAGTTTAAATAATATCTAGATTATGTAAATACTAAGAACAATTTGTCCCTATAAGAGACTGGAGTCCAAGCCTTGCCGATTAGGAAGATTGAATAACAACACATCCATGGACTTTTCTTTCAGTACAGCCTTGGAGCAAGGCTAGAGATGCATTAGTCTTGCACATGTCTCTGAGGTAATAATTTTAAGTTTAAATAATAATTTCTAGATTATGTAAATGATAAGAACAAGCTGTCCCTGTAAGAGACTGGAGTTATTCTGTCCACATCTAGACTTGCCGATTAGGAGAATAGAACTACTACAAATCCTTGGCATTTTCTTTCAGTACAGCCTTGTAGCAAGGCTAGAGATGCAGAGTCCCTGTTCACCCCAGTCCAGGCTTGAATGTACTAACAGCATGTCTTCCCATGGTACTGCATCTTCTGTCTCGCCTTATCGAACATCAGCTGGGTTTTAGTACAAAAACAGCAGATTTTTCCATTCCCAGGAACATTAGGTAACTGTCGGTGCCAGGACTTCATCAGCTTGTTCTATCAGGGACCAGGATTCATACCATCCCTATGCATGCATGTTAATATTAAAAGTAAGCCTCTACCTTTTTGTACTTCAGTCTAAAGATAAATACAACATTTGGGGCCCACAGTCATTTTGAATGCATTGGACAATCTGCACACAACCAGATTTAAAGTACATAAATACATTTGTAGAGGTTATTTAAAGCATAACTGTGTCCTGCCAAAACTCACAAATAAAGAAGACATTGTCTTCTCTGACTACAGTGTTTGTTGTTTAATGCTGCCGTGAGCAACACCAAAGCTGAACCACCCCAGCCTGCAAGTAATCATGTCATGGCCAGACACACCAGCGGTTGACGTTAGGAGCAACGTCCCATTCCTCAGCCACGTTTGTTTGTTTGTTGTTTAACGCCACACTCAACAATATTCCAGCCATATGAAGGTAGTCTGTAAATAATCGGGTCTGGACCCAACAATCCAGTGATTTATATCATGAGCATCAGTCCACGCAACTGGGAAACGATGATATGCATCAACCAAGTCAGCGAGCGTTACCAACCGATCCAGCCTCTTACGACAAGCATTGGTTGCTGAAGACCTATTCTAACCAGGATCGTCAGCTACAACCAAGTTACAATCCACCAAGCCACCACACCTAACCACCCGATCCATGACGTAAATCAAGCATAGGTTGCTGGGGACCTGTTCTAACCCTGATTCCCAAGGGGTTACCCACATTACACTTTGATTCGGGTAAGCTACACAAATGGACATTTACCTAACAGAAACAATACCTGTAGGGGGAGGCTACTCACGCGAATATATTGAATGTAATCTACATGGAGGCTTGGATGTGGTAAATCGGAGCACTGCGTTATCAGGCCAGTGATTGAGTGAGTCAGGAGGGATGAGAAGCACGTGGAGAATGCTTCCTTAGTCAACAGTGTGACAGGTACTAGTGAAAAACATGACACTACTCACAAGAAACATGACACCACTAGCTAATTACTATACATATATACACACGTCATGGAGTCAGTGTCACCAGAGATATAGATACTAGGGATTGGTATTGGATGTTTAAAGTATATCACAATAAAGTATAAACAATATATATTTTACAATGCATAAGGCCGTATTGCAAAACGTATCACAATATAATGTATATTTTGAAATCACAAGCGATTTGAAACATCAATGCAGGAATTGTAGTTCATGAATGGAAAAAAAAAAGGTGCGGAAAGAGCTTAATGTTTACTCATTCAAAAAATAAATACGCAAGGATGCACACTCCAGGACATGAAGTAACCCGGACTTTTGTCCTTCGTCTGTCTCATAATGCTAACCCATTGAGACATAATGCCACAGTTTAGCATGGGTACCCCACTCAGACACATTATACTGACAATTGATACAAAATCACAAAAAATAATAGGTCACAGCTTTTTACTTCATGAATAACTCAAACATTTTTTTAATACCTTCAACAGAAAACTACATACGGAAATATGCTGTTTCTTTCCATGAAGCTGAAAAGTGTGGAAAAACACTTTTGAAAAGTCAAAGATGCATGTGTTTTTATTCGCGGGCATACCAAACGCTCAGACTCACAGCATGTTGTAAGGATGAGAGTGCACAACACACGTCATATGTCGGCCTACAACACAACGTTGACCCAATATCCAGTCCGAATTTTCATATACTGAAACAGTTAAACTCCATAATTAATTAACTAATGTTGTTTAACAATGTAGTTGTATAT